GTTGGAGCTTTTCAGAAAAATGGACAAGTATTAAGGATGAAAGACAACAAACACTATGGACAAGGCACATAAAATGAACATATCTATGACCAAATATTCTGAAAGATATTTTAATAAGCTCACATATTTAATCAGGGTAAATATATTACAATAACACATACATCCCTCAGAGATTAATGACCTTATATTCATAGTTTTAGAAGTTGAACTCCTCAATACTTAAATTCATCACAGCAATGTTATAAACAGGCCAAAATCACAACTTTCTATAGATGCAATATCTCGTATTAATTTAAACCATTTTTCATAGCTGGTAACAATAAACACAGTTCTCATTGGTGCAGGAGGTCAAGTTTACAGAATGTCAGTGATTTCCAGCCTTTTACTTAAAGAGTACAAGCAACACAGCACCAAGGTCAAAATACCTCCAATATCTATTTTATTGTAGGACAGAAGAGAATTGTAAGAAGCCCAAACATTTCCACTAGAGTTACCTACTACCAGTCAATCAGGAAACTTCCGTTGCTTTTTTAAAGCTTTCCACAATAACTAAAAGCACACTTAAAATGTCTGTTGATAGTTCTACTCAACAAACTCTCTTACAGCTTAATAGATACATCTTTTATCAATTTATGCCGGTAAAGTTTCTACATAGGTTTTTTTAAAGCAAAATCCCCAAGAAGCAGAACATCCATGCTGAAATTGCTGCAACTCCTCCAAGACTTTCTGCAGTACAGAGAGGTCACTGAAGTAAAAAATAAACCCCTCTCTTAAATACTGTAAAAAAAATCCACTTCACCACAATGAAACCTTTTCTAGGGAGAATACAAAGCAAAAGTACACGACAATCTTTAAAAATGCCATTTTCTCATTACATATAACTGGACGACTGGTTGATAAAGAAGTAATTCAGGTTGTGTTTTTTTCAGACTGAACACACAGGCTGCCCTTAGGAATGGGACTCTATGGTGGGCAACATGGTTATGCAATTGCTGTGTGCTAAATACTACCCCACTGCTCCTAAAAACTCTGCTAGGGATGGAAGTCTAATTAAAAAGTTTCTTGACTTTAAAGTTAGAGGGGAGGAATTCCCATTTCTGATACGCCTTTACTGAAAGTGCTCTGGGAGCATAGGGTAAGGGAAAGTAAAACAAAGGCTGTGTGAGTTTTCCTTGGAGGAACATTTTTGGAGAATTGTTTGAAGAGAAAGCACAAGGCCTTGTCACAGTTATCAAAGTATACACATACTTAAGGAATGAGGAGAACTTCTATTCAAATGTCTTAGAATACCACAAGAAAAGTATTGCAAACATCTTAAATGAGGCATTTCCTGACGTCCTGGCGTCACCTCTTCAGCTGGATAATAATAACCTAGAAAAGAAGTACTAGTGAAAAGGTAGTGTAATAGCTTTAGCATAATATGCATCTGCTTGGTACATGATACTACCCACCTTAATTATATTGTCAGAAACAGCATGTTTTTGTACTCACCTGTGCAGTAACAACACAGTTTAAAAAAAAGAACATACAAAACTCATGAAGAATGGAGTCTATTTATTTTATTTCATCTTGCATTTGTGTTGTCAAAGCAAAGCATTCTATACATATTATTTAGCTATTTACTGCCACTCTACACCCATTATTGACCTAATTGCAGAAAGACAAATGCAGGGACAAACTTGTTAAAATGGGCATATTGATAATGCTTCTCTGACTTCAACAAATATTTATTTAGAAATAAGATACTGCTCATGGGTTTCTTTTATTAACAGTTAATGGTTCAATTCACAGAACTTTTAAGACACCATGGAACATGTAGCAAAACACAATGTAATAATAGGCAATGTCTCTTCTCTTCACTAGACATTCTTCAGAGGAAGAATATTATGGTAACAGCTGAGCTACTGATTCAAATACCTAAATGGAAAGAATCTGGCAAGTGATGGATGGTAACTTTTAGATACAAGATGATCCCATATTTATTTATGTAGGCAAAACCCCTTCAGTGTCACAGACATAAAAGAATTACTATCTGAAAATACCTGTATGTATTTTAAAATAATGTGAGCCAGCTTTATAGCAGGTATCATAGTATGATTGCAAGTTAGACATAGGAAAATCTGAAGAAAAAACCAGTAAATCCAAGTACTTTGACCTGTTTCAAAGCCAGCTAACATTGGTCATAAAAAAGGAAAAAAACCCTACAATTAATTTTTGTTTTGTTTCTTAACACTAGTTTTAACTGTGCGAAATCACACTACTGGAGTATCTTTAAAGCCACTCCTGTGAGATGTGGAAAGAGAAAATGAAATGATAGTTTGAGTCAGAATGGAAATTTTACTGCACAAAAAATATCTCAAAACACTACAATAAAATATTTTAATCACTTAGTTTTACAGCTTCTAACAGATAAAGTGTACTGTCAGCTGTGGCATCTATTGATAATACCTGAGAAAAACAAAGTGTATCTATCTCTATATCAAAAACAGTTTGACTAATCTTAATGTCTAATAGCTTCTCACTAATAGAGTGATTTAAAACAAAAAGTTGTAAGATTTTCAATCTGACTAAATAGTTCTTCCATTATGACAGTTTACTAGACTGGCTGCTTCACTGTATCTGTATGAACAGATGAAAAAAGAGTTGAATAGGCTAAAGATATTTTCCCTCAACATATATCTATTATTTCCCTCTTATCTTTTAAAACCAGGAAACATTTACAAGTACTTTTGGAGCTGTAGACTTATTTCTTGAGGAACTACTGCTATGATAAATTGCACAGAAATACTTCAAAGTGTTATATGTGCCATACTTAGAACTTCCAGCCCGAGATATGCAGGTGTTGTAACCAAAGCAAAACAACTGAATTTTAACACGGAATGAGTATTCCTTTACAGTTTTGCAAACAGAACTACAACAAACAGATCTTAAAAGATTCACTTTCCCAATTCAAACGTTGAAAATTATTTTAAGGGATTTTTGATTGCGGTGTACAATAAAAAGAGGTCGTTAGAATTTGCTTGCTCTCGGTAGCACATGGCACTGACAGAACAGGTGCAGGCCACATAAAGGCATTATTGGAAATAATACTTATACAAGTGGGCACCTCTGCCAGCTGCAGAATTCCAGACTGTCGGCCCTTTGTGGCCTTGAAATTCTTTGAATATGGAATGTATTTAACCCAGTTCAGTTGTGCAAGAAATATTTGAAGTGGCAAACTCACATAATATTGTGCCCTAAAACCTTCCATTAAAAAGTGTATGTGTTGTTGTATAAATCCCAAGTCTGTTTAAAATTTCTTTAAAAAGTCAAACCACACAATCACAAAAAGTATTTAAACAGCAAAAAAGTCTTTCTAAAACTTAGAGAACATATGCATTGTGCATTCAACTATCATAAAAACAACATCAGGTACTAATCTTTCACTCTACACTATGGTGCATGGCAAAACAATGTTCCCAAACTGACAGTTATCACAGTGGAAAGTATGAACATTTCTTTTAAGGAAATTCATTTCTATAATGCTACTATTAGTAATTTTCTTGCTGCTATTTCCTGGAAAAATGGGCGAAGCTGAGAGAAAAAAAACGTAATTAAAACATGTCTTAAAGTTAATCACTGTAATTCAGAGTCACATGAATGAAGTTGTGCTCTTTTTATCCTAAAGAAATATCTTTGCAAGCATCCAGAACTAAGTATTTTTCTCTGCAGTTTGGGAGCTGAGGAAGGGAGAGATCCTCCTCTTGGAGCAAAAAAAAGACTGGAGAATCAAATCCTGTTTCCTCCGCAGTCAGGGTAAATATTGTCAGCTACTACAGGCATGGGTGGTAAGAGGAGCATGATTTTCTTCTTAGTCCATCATAACAAAAGTTTCCTTCAACCCTATCATTTAATTTTAAAGTGGAATTTGTTTTATCCTGCAGACTAATAAGTACCCTAGGAGCTTGATTGGTTGGTGCTTAATGAAATTGCTTCTGCTGACATTAGATACATTAGGATACTGATTAAAACACTTAATGATCCCTCTTGATTTTAAATTGCTAGCTTAGATTTGTGAGATGCCATCAAAGTATCTTTTTCCTTCCTTTCCTCCATCCTAATCCTGCTTCTCCTTGCCCTTTTTCTGTTCATGATCCTTAAAGGTTGTGGCTCATTGGCAACAGCATGGTCACAAACCAAACCATGTTGAACACTGCGTTGTTTAAAATATGCCAAACCCCACAATACAGACACTGAAAGACAGTCATCTTTGAAATACAATTTCCTGTTTCAAAGCTCAAACTATTCCTAAATGTGGCAACACTGAGAATTATTAATATAAAGGGAAATCCAAAGTCAGAGTAAACTTTTACTTTTTAAAATATTTTCTGAGAAAAGATAATCCTGTAAATGTAAAAACAAGTATAAAAGCATTACTTTTGAGCTTGAATGTGGAAGACAGTAAAACATTGGCGGAAAATGATGCTGGAATGGTATTTCTCTGACAACAAAGCTGTTTTTCATGCTCTTATACAAAATTGCATACCATATCACCTTCCAGTGGGAAAAGTGTATATCTTATGGGCATAATGACAGCTTATCCTCAAATATTGTTAAACACTACAAATACCAGGTTTGGAAACTTTGCCTGAAGAGGGAAAAACCACAATAGCTGTAAAAAGTTCCACTTTCCTTGACAAATGTTATCAAGGCTCTTGAGATGAAATTGTACTTACAAAACAAAACTAAAGCCTGCTGTGTCAGAAGCTTCTAGGAAAAAAAAAGTGAATAAACTGAATTTTATGCTTAATATAAACCTTAAGACCACAGAAAATAAAAAAGTAGAAGTTTTTGTACATTTTAGCACCATTGTAAAGTTAGACTCGAATGCCGGTTCTGCCACTGTGGCTGTACCTTGCAGCTGGTGTAGCCAGTGTGAAGCTCGTTGACTTCAGCGCTCTTTGAGAGAAAAATCACTGGATTTGCCCATCACAACAAATAATATATTTGCCATTTTTTCCTTTTTTTTTTTTTTTTTTTTTTTTGTATTTTTAAAATAATTTTGAGCTTTATTTTTCTTGGGCAGCCAGAGTGCATTTCTGTCAGCTAAATCCAAGTCCGAGTCCTTTTGGTCTCTGGATGGCTCTTATGGGCTCTGCTATCCCTTTGCCGTCTGGTCCAAGGCCCGTGCCTGGGGTCCAGCCCATACTCTGAAGCATTCTGTTTCCAATGTTGTTTTCTGGGATTGGTTGGGTGTTTTCTCCTACAAACCCTGAGATTAAAGAAACACACAGCATTAATCAGCACTGCCATGAGGAGAAGAGCAGGATAATCTCCCATAAAGCTTTAAACCTTCTTATTCTCCTAATTCATCTAACAGGTTGCTAGAACAGGCTGTCTTTGCACATGTTGACCTCTTGAGTGCATATGATTCTAAATAATAAAGTCATATGCTTTATTTTTAATTTATGGAAGACTCATTCAGTTTTTAAGTATGACAAGTTTTGTCACAGATCTTTTATATTCCACTACGGTGGATGTTACATCAGCCTCGAAGAACGTAAATCACCTGCACAAGTCTACCAATACATTGGTAAGATTACCTGAATTTCTAGTCCTATACAGTTACTAAGGAGAAACACATCATATTAACATGACCATCATTCCATTCTTAGCAATATTTATTGATGCTTAAGATCTCCTTCAAGAAAACCCAATAAAGAAGTTCTGATTAAACCATTACACCTGTTACAGAAACAGTACAGACAACTGGTCACCTACTCTGAAATTCAGCTATATTTTTACTCAGTTTCTCTTTTACTGAACATTGTGAGATTTGATACATCCAAGTCTACTTTTGGTATTTTCAATGCTTGTAAGTGCTGTTTACACTTTTCTCTCCACAGCATCAAGATATCTAAGAAAAGCTGCACACAAACTGCAGAAAAGAGTGTCAGCATTGCAAGTGTTAGTGTGATTTATTTTTTTAATTACAGGTTCTTTTTTTCTCCATAAATGCATCATAAAAAAGAAAGTGAGGTGAACATAACAAAGTTGTTTTTTCCCCTTCATCCAAATCCTCAAAACAGAGTTTGGAGATGATGCGTGGATAAGCCTTCCCATCTAAAACTATCTTGCATGAGGGATACAAATGATACTTATTTCAAGAATCTGTATTAAAAGTTATCAAGTTCCACCATGCAAACAATTTTAAAAAGGGGTGACGTTGAACTAACACAAACAGTTGCATGTAGGCAGCTGGATTTTGTTTCTAGCATTATTCAACATCTCCCTTCCTCTGACAACAGAACAAAAAACCCCTTCCATGTCCTCAGCTTCCAAAACTACCTGTTTATTTATCTACCTATTTATTCTGGCCTGCTAATTTTTGAAAAATACTGTAGACTATGGTTTTGGGTTTTTGAAGACTATAATGTCTTCAGTCAAGAATTTACCATTGATAAGCATCTGGATTTTCATTATATTAACTTACTAAACAAGAACACAAGAAAAGTTGAACATGAGCTTCTGAAAAGCCTCATTTATCAAACACTCACACAGAAAAAGCAAAGCCCCACAGTAGAAACCGCATACACAGACAGAAATTAAAAACAAGAGGTGCACATTAAAAACCTCATGATGATTATGATGATGAACTTGCAGTACTCCAGCATTATCCACTATAGATTTGTTCATATTCAGTAAAACACTGGCTACATAAAAGGCAGACAGCTTTCCACTATCTCAGTTCCTGAGTCAAAGAAAAAAGGGAGTGCATTGAGGGAAGGCATCCTTTAATACTGGTTTGAAGCTATGCTTAATGCTAGGCTTAAAATAAAGGCTTTTAAGTCAGCAGCCTCAAGTCCCCGAGAGGGTTCCTCTTGAACTGACCAGAACAAAATTCAATGTCCAAGACTTCCTTTCTTTTCAGGCCCCCACAGGCAGAGGCAATTTTTATACAGACGAGTCCCTGGCACTGCCTGGCATACACAACACAGGCTTTGCAACCTTCCTAGTTCCTTTACAATTTTCCAACTCAGAGAAAAGGGAAAGAAAAAAGGGTACTGTTCAACAAAAGTTATGGTAAGCCTCACAGGTAAAATCCTGGAAGTTTTGGTCCGGTTTTAGTGAGAAGGGATGATAAGAAACGAACCATCATTCCAGTAAATGTCTGTGGAACAATTAAGGGGGAAACTTAAAGGGGAAGAAAGATCCAACAGATCCACAGGAAAGAGTGTATTTCATGACATCTGAAAACTGGAAACATTAAACCACTCATAATGCTGCTTAGGCAAAAGCAGCAATGCTGCTGGAATGGTATGCAAGGCATAGACTGACACAATGTAAACAGCTTTTTTGTTAGTCTATTAGGGGAAAAAACCTATAGACCTTTTCCTGTAACAGATGTACCTTTCTGTATGAATTTCAATTCACAAGACAGCCAGAGAGGAACCTCACAAAGAAGATATATGAAAGAACAATCTGTACCCTGACATGTTATTTAGTAAACTGCTGTTTCTATTTTTGATACCTTTTGAAGTAGTTCAATTTTTTTTTGTGACAGGATAATTGGAATAATTTGTTTTTGAAGACATTTAAGTACTTCTAGAATGTACACTGTAACTATTTTCCCCTCCACTGTACATACTTTTCTATCTCCTGTTAAGAGCTGAAGCTCTCCCTCAGAGTTCTGTTTTACTCTTGTATGGCACCATATTAAAAAAAAAAAAAAAGAAAAAGAAAGAGAAGAGAAAAGAGAAACCACAGTAAACTTGGCTTCGCAATCCACTTTTGGGCAAACAGTCAAACAACATACACTGTCCAAAGAATAAAGTGTTCGAAGGTTTTGTATTGTGGCAAGAATAAGGCAAAACCATACCCCCAGCCATTTTGCCTGTATTACTAATTGACTAATTACTCCTCCTTGTAAATGAGGTGAATATGGATAGCTCTTATTTGAATTGTGAAAAATGTTTAATATATGCAGACCATTCTTTTGCAGTATAGTCAGCTGCTATATAAGTACTATCTATATCTGTCTTTAATATTCCTCCAATTTTCACCCATCATTTGAAAAATTTACCTATAATGCAACATACTGTACTTAAATCCAAAGAATATGGATAGTGGTATTGCCCCCTTCCTCCATTTCATGAGCAATCAGCAATTGGGGAAAAAAAAAAACATTTGCATTGCTGATTGACTGCATGACAGGAGAGAGCTCTTAAAAATCACGCTACACTGTGTGCTATTCCCCCGACCCCCATTCCTGTGCTTTGGGCTTTTATTTTCTAATTAAAAGCAGTAATTGTCCTTGCAATATTCATCTTCAAGTTCAGTTTTTAATTCATGCCTATGGCACTTCTTGGACTAGCCAGTAGGGCCTGTTAGAGAGAACGGTCCAAGCACAGTGGCCTTGAAAACGGCTGTGCTACCTCTGGGACGTGTTCAGTCTTGACCCACCCAGGAGCAAGAGCAAAATCAACCCACTGCGTCGTCCCACAAAAAATAACTGTGCAAAATCAGATTAAAAAAAAAAAACTTGGAGGGACATTTTTCTAAGGTTATTGCTGTATGAGGTTTTCTGGGGTTCCAGGAGTTACAAGGAATTCTCTGCACTAGTAATTTGCAGAAATCTGCTGTGCAGAGCCTTTTCTTTCTGTAGACTGAAAATGTTTTTAGCAACCGTAACAACTGGTTCCTGATCTATTAGGTGAATGTTCTGTATGTAGAAGTGACTGCCATTACACAAGTAAGGAGGAACAGTAACTTCTTTGAAAAGACAACACTGTGAAATACCCTCACTTATGCTCCTTCTTTTTGGAATACTGCCAATTGAAAGAAAAAAAGGCCATCCTCAAACCTTTGTGTATATGAATAGACACACCTCAAGGTCTACATGTATGATGCATATGACCTTACATACATGGGATATGAAACCTATGAGGAATAAGTGACAAAACTGGGAAGGGGAAAACAAAAAACTCATCACATTTGTTTAATTTTGGTATGATATTTATGATGGCATTAAAGGCAGGTTTCAATGAAAAATAAAGGTATGTAATTTTTTCTTAACAGCTGTTGAGACAGGTATGTCCTGGTTAAACAGTACACTAGCATTCAGTGCCATACCCTTGATTTTACAGTGATTGCCATGAATTAATTTAATTCCATCTGTAAGCTAAAATCAGATCAGAGGTCTAATGCTGCTGCAGGCTTCACATCTGTTTAATCATTTTTGGATACAGCAGCTTGCAAAAGTTCAGCTTTTAAATTTGCTTCATGTTTAAGAAACAATGTTACACCAGTGTACAACATTCTCATCAGGAAACAAATGAGCCTATGAACAGCTTTCATTTGACAGATCCATTTTATTTGCAAAATGCTTCTAAAAATTAAAAGCTCAACATTTAAGTTATCGTGCATTATAGAATAATAAAGGAACTGTGACCCCATAAACCACTATTGTGACAATATTTATTTGTATGGTCCAATTGCTGGATAAGACAAACATCAAGCATGTTTGGTTTATATTGGTCTGAATAAAATCAGAATACAGATAGGTTCAATCTTCAGATAACCCTTTTTAAGAAAATGTGGTTTGGTTCCCCCCTCCCCAGTTGGAAGAAACAAATGAAGGCATAGTGAAGGAATTTCGTCTCTGGCACTGAACTATTTTTGATGTTAAGAAAACGGGTTTTTAAACAGTTCTGAGAAAATGACACTACATAAATATAGTCTTGCCCTTTCATCTTTCTTTTATATGATTAAGACTTGTGAGCAGAACAGCAATGCCTTCGCAGAGCATATCACAACTATTATTTCCTCTTCTATCGCTCCCAGCAGCCTTAAATCCTTTAAATCCTTTCCTAGAAGGATCTCTTTTTTGCTTGGGTAATTTTTGCAATACATGGCCTGCTAACCCTTACCCCCTACCCTGGATCTCACTTATGTCTATCACAGCAGAGTCAGTCTTTCTACCTCAAATCTTCCAAGGAGCATTGTGGATGGTAATTCACTTGCGTAATTGGCTCAAGAGATGAAAATCTTGTATCTGCCTCTCTTAGCCACTAATCTATCCAGCTGACTGCAAGCCTAATTGGCAGCTTGTTTAGTAATTTGGCTCCTAAAGTGTTGTATTGATGTTGGATAAACAGCCAATGGAAGGAGAAACGATACATGCTGCTTCTCTTTAAAAGCCAGTGCACTTTCTCCCTCATTTTCTGAAAGCATTTAATATTTCATCTATTCTTTTTCTTTTCTGACTCCTAT